TTTTTAATTCTAAAAGTTAAGTAAAAGTAATTACTTAAAAACTATGCACCATGTTTTAGGCATTTCTTCAAACTTCTCTTCTACAAGTGAAAAAATATAGCATGCACTAATGCATATGTATGAATTACATAAATAACAAGAGAAAGTATATAATTATTATATGGAAATAAGAGAAATTAGGAGTATTTTACGTCCTAAAATTTATTTATTTTTTTTTTTTTTTTTTAAAGTTAACTACTACATTTTACATCAAAATCACTGAGACACAATGAGGTCCCAGCCAGTATTTGGACACCCACAAAGTCAACTAGACTCTAAATGATTTTATTTGTGATTGAAGGATTTGGTGTCTCACAACCAATACTGAAGTCCAAAAGTGAGATCTTCAAAGCAATCAACCACTGTCCAGAAGTAGGAAAAAGGAAATAGAGTAAATAAATAAATGAAAACTTTTTGGGATCAAGTGCCACTTGGCCGGAAGGTAAGGAGTTCCAGTTATGGGCTTATATAGGCAAAGTCAGTCAGTTGCTAGCCACCTGTAGGCAGTAAAGAGAGGGTGGTTAGAATACCAACTAACCATTAGAGTGTGAGAAACCATTGATCAGAGATGTAGGGAGTCTTGGTAATAACTGCAGTCAAGAGGTACAGACAGTTGCAGTCAGAGAGAGGCAGTTGAAATTGTCACTGGCTGAAGGGAAGTTCTGGTCCATTATTCTGCTGTGAGATTTCTAAGTGCCACTTAGTTACACCCAAGTGAATACTTGCATAAAGAAACCAGTATAATGGAAAGATAAAGGTTTTTATATCTCATCATTGAGTTATTTCATCTTTTGTTTCCTAGAGAAAGCACACAAAGCCTTTTCCAGATGTAATTCATACCAAAGCAAACTAGAATCAAAACAATATTGTGGGATTTATCCAGTTGGTGAAAAACTGAAGGAGTAATGCACCAAATTTTAAAAAGATTTTGTGTATGTTTATAACTGCCATAAAATTTTAAATACACATGAAGCACAAGATAACCATTGTAATGAAAATTATTTTCAACTCATCTGAAACTTGCAACCAATTACATAATCATACAATTTTAAGGTTTATAATAGACAAATGCCAAAAAGAAAAAATCACTTATCTGATAGTTTTTTTCTTTAATCTGTTATCTGACACATAGCTTATAATGCAAGACACTTGTAACTACATTAAGTAACCAAAGACAATAATTGATGTCAACTATCCTAAGTTCTTGAAAACTAATGAATCTTCTATATTTCACTAATAAGCAACAATTTTAACCTGCTGTTTAACAGAAAAAAAATAAACCACTGGTTTTACTGTAAAAGGATATAATTTAGTGAACACAAGAAGAGCCCCCAGGTCTTATAAAGTATCTCTAATTTTAGGTTGGTTTCAAGCGATGTTAAATACTCACCTAGAAGAAATACTTTTCTCTTGCGCAGTTTGCACTAATAAAATTTATGTATTACAAAAATTGACATTGCCTAATGCCATGACTGACAGACCTCTAAAGTCAGCAATTCATGTTAAAAGGGAGATAACTACTGGTTCGCTTTTGGCTTGTAAAATTTGAAATAAAATATTTTCTTTGGCATATCTCAATAAAATTTTACCTTTTTTATGACATGCTTGTCAATCATGAGAGTCATCATTTTGCTATGCTATTAAATATATTCTTTAACATATTCATAAGTGTAATATTTAACAAGGACATTTTAAAGTATTTCTAATTTATGAAAATGAGGGTTTTATCAAAAGTATATTGTGAATGGGCAAAAAATATATTTTCTGTCAGTTATCAATTACCTTTCAAATTATGAAAGAAAAAATTTGCATAGCTACAGGGTGCAATGGGTAAATTGTTGCCATTTTATATTTTTCATTTCACACATACACGTTTTTTTCTTTTTGTCAACTGCATCATATAGTAGGGTCAGTTGGGCACTGTCTGTGAGAAAAAGAGTACCATGATGCAATTCATTCCACCAAGAATTTGGAAATGGCATGCTGTACTGCTTGGTAATCATTCCGAAAGCTCCAATACAAACATTTCAGAGTGTTTGGGTATCAATCTAAGGATATCGCAGAGGATTCAGAAAGAGTTGGATGAGTTTAATGTTAATTATGAAGGTATGGCAGCTTGGAAAACTTACTGATCGTTATAACAAAAGAACTCCCAAATTTGTTGGTGAGTGCCTCAGACTCAACACGGAGGCCTACATCAAGTGCTTTGAGGTGATAATGCTGCCCTAGGTCAAAAGAGTGGCTGCTGGAAGATCCTATATCTGGCAACAGGACTATGCCACACAAACAGGAGAACACAGTCATGGCTGTTAGACAATTTCTGCAACCCCTTACATCTGACCACCTAACTCCCCAGACTGGAACTCCCTTGATTATTGTGTATGGGGCACAGTTGAGCGAGAGACCAAAAAAAACTCTTTGTAACACCAAAGATGAACTGAAGGCAAGGATTATGGCAGCATTCACCAACTTAAACAAGCTGGCTGTCCAGTAGAGTTGCAGGAGATTATGAAGTCGTCCAGAGGCCACAGTTGAAGCCAATGGCGATTTTATTGAATAGATTTACTCTTTAGTATTTCAAGATATTTTTGTTTAAATTTGGTAAATATATCTGTTAAAATAAGATGTCAGCGTTATTTTCATTTTTGTGTAATTTAGATGACAATCTATCCATTACACCCGCATACCTGAAATTTCATTTTATTACTTTTCAACCATATAAAAAATGATAGAGTATTTGTATATAGTGATTGGCATAATCAAGGAACAGATTTAAAATTGATACTAAAATTGATCACATTAATTTGAAAACATCAAGATTATATAAAAGTATTTGATAAAAGTAAAATGAATTCAGTAAATAGGCAAAAATAGAAAGGGACACAAGACAAGGATGTGTTTTCTCACCAAATTTATTCGACCTTTACAATGAGGTGATCTCGAGAGAATTAGAAGTCCTACCACAGCTACAATCTTAACATAAGATGCACATAACACAGTGTTGGGAGCAGAGAAAGAAAAGAAATTCCAGGAACCCCTACAAAATGTAGTAAAGGAAAGTGAGAAGAAAGAACTAAACTTCAATTGTAAGAAGAAAGAATCTATGGTTATCAGTAAAAGGAACAGTTCAAGATGTAAACTACTAATTGAAGACACCAAAATCAAGCGAGTACAAAATTTTAAATATCTAGGAAATATTTTACCAGAGGACGGAAAATGCAACACCAAAATCTGGAGGTGCATTGAAATAGCCTAAGCAAACATGAAAATATCATCAAAAACAAAGAAAAGAATACTGAACTGTTATGTAATATTGGTTTTTCTATATGGTAGTGAATGCTGGACAATTTCCTCAGAAATGAAGAAGATACTTGAGGCAATAGAAATGTGTGCTTCTACAGAAAGATGCTGAGAATTCCATGGACTGAATATCTGAGTAACAAGGAAGTTTCAGAGAAATGGAAATAAAATGGACATTTATACTTAGAATGAGACAATTGAAATTTATAATGAAGAGAGGGAGGGAGCTTGGAGAATTGATGCTCACAGGACATAGTGAAGGCAAGAAAGAGAAGAAAACAGCAAACAACCTACTTAATGAACTTGTGTAAATATTTGACTGGGTGAATTTCTTCAAGGAATTAGACAAATATTAATGGGCATTTGCAATCGGTTATTTCATTACTATTAGCACAGAGGTTTCATGTAGGTGAAGAATCAACAACAGATTTCAGCATATTTGCAAAGCTTATGCAGGGTTTAAAAAAAAAAAAAAAAAAAAAAAAAAAAAAGCTAAAGGATGCTCCACAGGGTAGACAATAGTTCCTCTTGCAGTAACCCTTTGGATACAGATTTTAAGTTGTCAACATGATATGAGACATCAAAATTGTTTTCATTGGCCACTTACCTGTGTGTGTATATATCTATATATATTTTAGGCAGCATATCTTCATCGAAGCAAATTTGTTTGAATAATCTGAACCTGTTACGTCTATTTTTATTTTAATCATCTCAAATTCACACAGATCAATTTCTTAATACTGTTATTAAACTGCTTAAGGAAGAAGCCGTAGTTTTTTAAAAGTTAATGTAATTGGTAGTTGCTTCATGCGCATAAAAAAAATAAAAAATAAAATAAAAAAATAAAAAAATAAAAAAAAAATTTGTTCCTCAGCATAATGTACAAGACGCATACTAACTAGAAAGAAAATTCATGACAGACCTTGCATTTGAGTGAGACAACTTCACCCAAAACCAACATACACCCAGCTTCTTAATCACAGCCAAACACCAAATAGAGAAAGTCATATGTGAGATAGGGGGTGTACATATGAAAGAGTAAAGAACTTTTGAGTTGAATGGAGACAAGTCTTAAGTGTTTCAAGTGCTGACAAATCCATTTTTGGAAATTTCTATATTTCTTCAAATAGTTCACGAATCCTCTAAATTACAAATTGATTTTATAAAAAGTAAAAAGGATATAATTTTTTTCTCATTCATTAAATTTTTCAATTTAAATTATAATTTACACTAAACCTAACAACATGATACCTAAGTGTAAATGTTGCGAGTCAAATGCGTTTTTGCTTGTCCGCTGAGAATAAAAATACATTTTTTAAACTATTTAGAAAATAATGAAACTTTCAAGAAATTTAATCTGCAGGCTTTTAATATGACATATATAAAATAAGTTACAAAGAGAAGACAATTTGTATTATTTGGAGAAAAATAATTTAAATCAAATCTAATAATTTTGATAGTGTCTATGCTTGTATAAAGTCAATTACAAATCTTGTAAGTCTTACAAATGAAATAATAACAAAGGATGAAAAAAAACAAAAAAACTCAAAACAAATACAATAAAAAATGAAGTAATGGAAGAAAACAAAGAAATAACAATACAATGATGGGTGGAATGACAGTAAATGACAACAGTTAAAAAAGAAATAAGTTTTACTCACCTGAAGTGGATCCTCAAGAACACCACTGCAGATAGCACAGATCAATTCTTCGTCAACATCCCCTTGAAATCTGACAACTTCATAACCCATCTCTTCAATCCCTAGCAATTAGAAAGAATAGAAACAGTTATGAACGTAATTATATGAGCAGATCTAAAATTAAATTAAGAGGAAACAGATGCTTACATAAAAACTACTGTACCAGACTGACAGCAACAAGTATGTGGTAGAAAAATAGAATCAAACAATTCAATTCCTTCAAGAAACATTTGAATGAGATGTCAGCTATCAAAAAGTACTTACAAATTTGAACATCTTTTTATGAAATATGATTGGTCAAAAAAATTCTTCATCTTAATGCACAGAAATTGACTTGGGGTTTTACTGTTACTCTTAATGGCCATTGTAGCAGTGTGGCTGGAGAGAGAGAGTGGTGACTCTCAAGCTCTCGGTCATTTGTTCTGTCTAACAAAGACAAATGTATCCAGTGAAACTAGGTAACAGTGTTGGTGTTTCATTTTTTTAAAAATTTTTTCTTTAATCCAAATGTAATTGGTTGGGTCATATTAGGTTGGATATGCTATAGCCAAGGTGCATCTGACTTGCATGTAAAACAATGACACATTGTGCTTAATGGTTGCATATTAAGCCTATTCTTTTGCCAATCTATCTGACGAAAATTGATGAAGTGATAGGCAATATCATTAGTAACTGTGTCTCCATTGTGATAAAAGAATCTTATTCTTTGGAACTATAACATCAAACAGCAACTTCAATTAAACTACACACCCTGGTGTATTAGGAATAGGTATCACTTGATAATTGAATAAGAAAGATGCATACAGGTGGCTTTTCTAAAGAAGTTTCAAATATTTAATTGACGGATGATAAAGTAAATATATGTGCTGGATTTCATAGTGGTGGTTATGATAGAATTAGTTGTTAATAACTTGACTACACCTGCTTATTCCCAGAGTCAGCCATATAAACATGGATTGATCATAACTGAAGAGAACATTTCCCAAGTGCAGACAATCTTTTTGTTTGATCATTTCCCCATCACAAAAAAAAGTGTGTATTCTTATGTTTGGTCATTAAAATACTGATTTTGGAAAGTGGGTCAAGTTGAAAATTTTTTATCACAACCTCATAAGGAAAGTTCACAATGAAAAGCAACTCACAGCAGCTAAAATGCTACCAACCTTTCTCCATTTGAATCCTTTGACCACATTTTATAGGTAATTTCATCATTTGTTGTAATGGTTTGTTCTTTAAAGTCATTTCTCCAATTATCGCAGCTCTAACAGATACTATAAACATAGCATTTAAGAAGAGACATTTAACGCCTGTGTCAGTGCTGATAACAGTGTCTTTGGTTGCAGTTACTGTGAACTAATGAAATATAAATTGGCATTTTTTGACAACTGATTGACATGTAGTTAAGATTGAAACTATATGCCAAAATGGTTGTTGCATTCAGTTAGTTGCATATACTGGAATGCCCTACCTTGAACTAAAATTACCCAACAGAGTTTTGTGACCAATTAGTAACTGAAAAGTTTCTTATGGAATTTCTGAACTGCAAAAATGATATCTTCAGATTGAAGATATGTGATCACTTTTGCACTGAAAAGAGGTCTTTTCTGATCCGCTAATTCAAAGCATCTGAAGAAACCCTTATTTCCAATGAGAGAGTGAAATAAACGAAAAAAAAAAAAAAAAGCCTAAATTGAACAGCCCAACATAATTTGTCCAAAACTCCACAGATTAAGATTTTGAAATTTGAGAACAGGTAATTGAGATGAACCAAAATCATGTCAAATGCAAGCAATAATAATATGTTATAATAGCACACAAAGTAGGAAAGAGAAAAATATGGATGTCTGAAAAAGAGATCATTTTCTCAATTTTATTTTCTTTCACCATCACCTCAGAAAATTGTATTTTAGCATATAGATGAAAACCATGTTATACAATAGTACCATACTTAATTATAGTATCAGTTTGTTTGAGTTGCATCCCATAATGGTGAAATCTGGCACTCGAGTTGGTCATGCGTGAAAGCTGTGAAGTTGTAAGTGCTCTCACCCAATTTCCTACACTTGTCATATGATATCTTTAGCTAACTGCCCAAATAAACTGAAATTTAATTATTTGAACTTTTTCTTAAAATAAAGAAAGAAAATAAATAAATTTTCTATATTGATTTCATTACAAAAGAAAGTAGTATAATGAAGACGAAGATTTCATCTAATTTTTATTTTTTTAAAATATTTTCTATTTCTAACAAGCTTTCCTGCATTTTTACTATAGAACAATCTTCTAGAATATTATCTGTGTCTTGTTTGATGTTAAATTTATAAAATATATTCTTTAAAAAACAAAGTTGTCAATTTCTTTTACATTCAATTAGATGATAAAGACATCAAAATGAAAGATTAGTGTTTAAGAGTTGCTTAATTGGAATGGATATTAAACTTCAGCCTACAACTTCCAAACTTATGTAAAACTTATGTAAAACTTCAGCTTTAAACTGAACAAAGTGGTGATAATCATAAGACATCTAATAAATAATAGTTTGTAAATTTCAAATATTGTTCAAATCCACTTTGATATATGGAAAAAGTAGATAAGAAATTAAATATTAAAAATTATTTTCTTAGTTACCTGCTCTCATATTAAAAAAAAAAAAAAAAAAAAAAATCAAAAAAAATCACATTTCAAATTAAGTACAAAACACCTTGCCAAAAATTATTTTTTGATTTTTTCAGAAGTTTTTAAAAACTAGCAATTGATCTAATTTCCTTTGAAGTGATTCTAAAAGTTGTCAATTGAATACTGTTTGAATCACATCTCATTATCTTCATTTTGAAAAATGGAAACTTATTATAAAGATCAAAACAGTATAAGCACTATTGCAAAGTACATCAAGAATCACCATAAGCAATTTTTTTTATTAAGAAAATTATGGCACTAAAAAACAACCATGAAAGCCATCCAAAATGGCCACTGATGACCATCATTGCCTTCTTAAAGAGGCATCAAGAGGTGAATTGCTTCTTTTTTTTTTGGGGGGGGGGTCTTAATTTCATTACAAAAAACAGTCTAGCAAGTTCTTAATGAATCAGACAACTTTGTGCCCCAGTTCTGAATGAAAGTGCCCATTTTGATGATGTGCACAAAAAAAAAAAAAAAAATGTATACAAAGTGGACTAAAAAAAGTGATTTGGATAAATTGGTAATGTGCTTAAAAGAAGCTCAATTTATATAGCCCCCAATGGAATGCAATGTTACTAGCATGGAAAGGACTAGAGATGCAATGCTAACTTGTTTTATAATAAACTGATAAAATTCCTGACAATTAGTAATATTGTTTAAAATTTAATTATTGCCATTACAAGGCATGAAAAAGTCATGGTTAAAAATTAATTTTTTAATTGGCTTTTGTCATTTGGATGACTTAACACCCTCTCACACACAATAATCAAAAGGACAAATGTATAGCAGACTCCTTATCTTATTATTCCATTACTTTAAATTATCTCAAGACAGACAAATTTGTGTGTGATTCCACATTGGCCACCAAAGAAAATGGCAAATACATATTGTATTTTTCCTTTAATTTAAAGAGAGTAACAGATTTTTTGGTGGAGAAGACTTTTGTCATTATATGTCTGAACAATGACACTTTTTTTTATTTTATAATGATGATTTTCTAATTGCATTCATTATCATGTTGAACATTATATATCATCAAACTAAACAGTGAATGAAAACATACTTATCATCACTGCTAATATTGTATTTAAATATTGACTTGTCCAGGTTTCATTAGTGAGGTTTTGTTTGCTCTTAGATATTTTTGGGGAGCCCATTAGCAGGCAAAATTCAGATTCAGTCATTTGACCACACTTTTCCATATTTGATTTACTCGATAATGTATTGTTTATTTACACTTCATAGTAGTATTGGTAGACCTAATTAGTCTCCAGTTATCTGAATATCTTAGATGAAGTATTTTCATTATAAAGTATTGACTAGTTTATTTGTTCATATTATATGTACTTGAAATATTCTGTTCATTTGGATAGGATCATCTCATGTTTGATAAAGTCATTTTTTCCATTGAGAATAGAAAATTGATCAATTTTTAATAACTGACAATTTTTTCTGTTTGCTTAATCATGCTTTGTAAATTAGTAAACTTTATACTTAATGTAAAATTTAGTTCATTTTGATTTAAAGACAAAAAACAAAAGAATATGAAAAAAAAAAAAAAAACCTTTTTCCAAAACTGTTTTACTTTTAAGTCTTGAGTGGGTGTTAAAAAGTTCTCAGCTTAACCAAAAACTTGTTGAGAAGACTAAAAACATAGCTAAATAAAAACACAAAGAATGCTGTGTTTTTGGTAGCATTGGGACAGTAGACAAAAGATCTATAAAATGGAAATGAAACAAAAACAAGCAACAGCAGCAGTGACAATTCAGGTAGCAAGTCATAAATAAGTGGTGATAAAAGACAAGTGTTAGAGAAAAGTCTTGTCTTGTTGACCCTCATTACACAAGATATTTTGTATTCCAGTAGGATAATACAACCATTCACAATACTAAGGTCAACAAGGAATGGTTTGAATGCAAATGCATCAGTTATAGATTGCCCGGCAAACTCTTCAGATAGCAATCCTATTGAGAACTTATAAGGCATCCTTTCAAGACAAGTCTATGAGCAAGAAAAGCAGCTTGAAAAGAGGAACAGCTTAATCACTTGCATTGCTGGGATGAAATTCTACTTGAAATCATGGAAAATCTGAGTTTGCTCAATGCCAAACAAATGCATTCCCATCCATTTTTTTTAGTTACATCCTTTAAGCAATATTTGAAATTTACAATAGATTTGTGAAATGTTTTCTAATTATTTCTAACACTTTATATTTAAAATAATATGAACCTTGCAGCAAGCTAATAGTTAGCAAGCTGATCACATAGATTATTTCTTCTGAGTAGTGAACTCCATTATGTGTGGCCATCTGCCAAGATGCATTAAGTTTTCACCAATTAATGTTTTTCCATCAACAGGATGGGTTTGAGCTTGTGAGCAAGGA